GAGACTTGACCAGAGAGACCATATTTCGTGTCGCGTTATATATATATATATATATATATATATATATTTCTCTTGCTAGATAGGATAGTTGGAGTGTTACTTTCTAATGTGGGTTGTTGCTTGGATAATGGATTAGTTTGTTTAGTTTCCTACTTAAAGGATGCTTTAAAGTTGTCGGTTTACAGTTTTGAGAACTCTAGTCGATTATTTGTTCGAGTTGTGGGAATTTGAACTTTTGAGATTGACATTAATTAAATGAGTAGCTTTTGCTCCATTGTCATTTGAGTATTTAAGTTTAACTTAGTGGATAGGTTATAGTGGTAAAAATGTTGATTGAGTTTCTTCAATTAATGTTGTTTCGACAAAATGTAGTTATTCTCTGTTGATGGTGTTGAGTAAATTTTGTAGAAGAAAAGAGGTTGACGACATTATGCAAAGGACAACTTTATCAAAGAAGAATGATGAAAGCCTATGACAAGAAGGTGCGCCCAAGAAGGTTTAGAGAGGGAGATTTAGTTCTAAAAGGAATTCTTCTACTACATAAAGATCATCGAGGCAAATGGACCCCGAATTATGAAGGACCCTTTGTGGTGAAAAATGCTTTCTCCGGAAGAGCACTAGTTTTGGCCAACATGGATGGCAATGAATTTTTAAATCCAGTCAACTCAGATCGTGTTCGAAAATATTATGCATAGTTTCCGATGTATTTCGAAAAATTTCACTTTGATCTCAGTATTATGCTTGAAAGGAAGTTTGTGTATCCATTCTCTATTATAGCCTACAAATTTGAACCACATCTTTGAGACGTGTGTCCCTTGTCATAATTGGAAATCTCATTTATAAAGTCTGGTCTCCATTCATCTCTTTCTATTTACGAAGGACGGTAGCTTTTATATTCATGTCTCCAAGGCTATGTGTTACTCGAAATTAAACATAAGGGCACAGGAAGCCTAAAAATAGGGACATTTGTTCTCTGGAACATTGGGGCAAACATGACATTACAAAGTTATCAGGGGCAAAGTCGTCGTCTCATTTGTTCTGGGTACTTTCGATCTAGTTAAAAGGATTTTTGAAGGAAAGCGAAATGCAGTGATCGAGCTATATGAACAATCCTAAGTTTTTATAAAAGCAAGTGATTTCACTCTATTTTGGCATCCAAGATAAATTTTTTTTGTTATCGTCACGAGTCAAACGCACATTCCATGCATCATTTCATGCATTTTCCTTGAATAAGTCTCCAAAAAGCCCTATGGCAGAAAATTTCGTGACGGTTCATTCTTGCTCAAGCAAGCTTGTTTTGTTTTCTGTTGGTTAAATCGAACCCGATCAAAGATCGTGGTCGAAGCCTGTGTCAAGTCAGGTCCGTTGCCTTTTAGTTTTCTATTAGTTAAATCGAACCCAATCCAAATCAAGGTCAAAGCCTGTGTTAAAGCCAGGTCC